TGTGTGTGTGTGTGTGTGTGTGTGTGTGTGTGTGTGTGTGTGTGTGTACAGGTCTCCTGTGAAGTTCCCAAGGAAAATAATGTCACAAACAGAATCAATCTAGCTTTTCTCTCAAAGCTTTATCATTGAAGAAACCAGCCACAGCATCTATAAGAGTAGCCAACAAACCTTCTTAGGAAGAGTGGGCTCTTGTTCATAAGTAACTCAAGTTTCTGTCATTTCCTTATGTCCTACGTCTCTAGCCTGACTTTAGAGTGAAGAGCAAGAAAGTAAGACTTTCCCTGCACTGGTAGAGAGACCATTCAATTGGGAAACAGAGGTTTATGGTAATATAATGCCATGGCTTACAATGGACCCAGAAAGCCTGGCAAAGAGACTTAGCAAGCAATAATAATAGTACAGAATCTGAGTCAAAACTTCTTTTTCTCACCTGGAGGTTCTTGATGAAATGAGAGTTCTGCAAGGTCAAAGGTTCTTTCAAATTAAATCTTTCAAATTAAAATTCAGTTCTTAAAACTCAATGTTTTATTTTATGTATTTCTCAAAAAAAAATAAAATAAAAAGATGTGATAGATACAAACAGCGAAGTGGGAAAGAAAAATGCCTCATTTTGTCCTGAAGAATTACTGTATTATAAAAAGACTCGCATATGGAAACACACACATACACAGGCCCATGTGCACTAAACAGGAATTTTGCAACAATTGTTACAATAATAACCATCAATAACTGATATTTGTTTTAGTGCATTAAGGTTATCAAAGTACTTTCCTAAAAACAGTCTTATAAGGTAGATAGTAAGTAGTCTAGGTATTAAATCACTATTTTATAGGAGGAATCTCAGGTTCTAGGGTGCTACACAACTTACCTAGGTTCACACAGCAAATAAGTATCTAAGGATGGATTCATAGGTTCATATTTAAAGCTGGAAGACACTTTAGAGAACATCTAATCCAACCCTTTCATTTTATAGATGGAAACAACTGAGGCCCAGAGGAAAAATGATTTGCCCAAGTTCACACAGGTAGGAAATGACAGGGGCAGGATTTGAATATAGAGCCTCTGGCTCCAGAGCCAGCACTCTTTTCACTATACCAAACCCTCTCAAGGAGGAAATGTGACATGTACTAGGTTTGGTGTTAGGAAGATCTGAATTCAAATGCTACCTCCAACATAAAGTTACTCTGTGACTGTAGGTGAATCACTTAAGTTCTCTGAGCCTCAATTTCTTCATCCATAAAATGAGCATAACAATGCCTATACAACCTACCTCAAAGTCATGAGGCTCAGATGGGTAATCTGTGTAAGATGCTATAGAAAATTCAGATATTGTTACAACAAAAAATTGGGGCTGTGTGATTACCAACTTATTTCCAGGTGCAGGTAACAAAACCATCACATAGAAATGCTAATAACTTTAAAACAGAATTTCAGAGCACTCAAATCTAGTTCATTTTTGGTGGCATTTATAGTTTAGAGGATAGGCATGGACTGGACCTCTGATTTCAAAGGTCCTAACATATAAGGTTGGGAGAAAAAACTCCCTCTAATTAAAGTTGCAACTTCTCTGCAATGTATACTTCCCCACCCCTACTCCTTGCCAGGGAATGCAATAGATAGAGCACTAGACCAAGAGTCAGGAAGATCTGAGCCCAAATGCAGCTTTGGATAACTTCCTAGCTGTATGACCTGAAGGAAGTCTGTCTAAATTTTGTCATGTGTAAAAGAGGATCATAATAGTACCTACCTCCCAGAGTTTTGTGAGGACCAAATTAGGTAATATTTGTAAAGTATTTTGTATAGCTTGAAGTACTATATAAATGTTAGCTGGCTATTTTTATAGTCTTTTTTTTTTTCAGGCAATCGGGGTTAAGTGACTTGCCCAGGGTCACACAGTTAGTAAGTGTCAAATGTTTGGTCTGAGGCCGGATTTGAACTCGGGTCCTCCTGACTCCAGGGCCAGTGCTCTATCCACTGCACCACCTAGCTGCCCCTCTATTTTTGTATTCTTAACTAGTTTTGGAGGGTCAGAGATCCAGTATGTGTTTGAGGCTAAAATGAACCTAATTCTTCCTGGCTCCAAGGCCAACTCTCCGTACACAACATGACCGATGCTAACCCTTTACCAAAACTTTAGTCATATGCACTTTAACAAGTAGTAGATATTAAGAAATATATTTACTGACTTCCCCTAAATATTCTGAGCATTATATAAAATAATTAGGCACAATTCCTGCCTACCAGATTTAAACTTTAAATAGAATGTATTATTAATTTGATGTCATAACATTGGGGCATCCATTAAAGATTGAAAGGCCAGCCTGTCACGCATCCTTTTGGTGAACATCTGTCCTCAGGGCTGATCTCTAAGCCTCAGAGTCACCACAATGGCTAGGATAAGATGACTGAAGCAAATATAGCACCTGGATTTGCCTTCCATGTTAGTCTTGAGAATATAATCTAATAACACGTTGTGTGCCATTCCAGAGGTCACCTATTATGCTCGGTGGACTGGTAAAGGCTATGTTAGATTGTTTTATGGGCCCTCAAATATTTACTAAGCACCTATATGGTGCTTGCTGCCTCTTTCCATAGCTTTAGCTTGCATTGTTTTTCATACAGGGTGCATCTCAATAGATCATAGCTATATAACTAGCACACTTGCTAAAAGTTGCATGTTTTCAGAATGCCATTGTATATATTAAGTGAAACTTGAGCATGAAGTCAGAAGTGCTCAGCTGGTGTAGACATGCATTTTCTTTCCCCATATTTTCTTACAAATGCTTCTGTCACACCCATTCCACTCGCAATCCTTTTCTGCAGTGACTAGATACAAATTAGAAGTTAGT